CCTTAAGCAGATGGCATAATGAGTTTTTTCAACCAGCCTTCATTCACAAAAATTGTTACATATTCAACCACCAGTAAGGCAGCCAGGATACCCCAAACAATGGAATAAATTGGAGAGACATCAATTCGATAGGTGGACCACTCGGTAGATAAAGAACTGGCCGGATGGCCGCATGCAAAGAGTTGTCAATGGCTCAATGTCCACCTGGAGACCAGTAATGAGTGGTGTCCCTCAGGGATCAGTGTTGGGACCGGTCTTGTTTAACATCTTTGTCGCTGACATGGACAGTGGGATTGAGTGTGCCGTCAGCAAGTTTGCCAATGACACCAAGCTGTGTGGTTCGGTTGATACGCTGGAGGGAAGGAATGCCATCCAGAGGGACCTTGACACGCTTGTGACGTGGGCTGATGCCAACCTCATGAAGTTTAACCATGCCAAGTGCAAGGTCCTACACCTGGGTGGGAGCAATCCCAGGCACAGCTACGGGTTGGGCAGAGAAGAGATTCAGAGCAGCCCGGCAGAGAAGGACTTGGGGGTGTTGGCTGATGAGAAAATGAACATGAGCCAGCTTCAGTGTGCGCTTGCAGCCCAGAAAGCCAACCGTATCCTGGGCTGCATCAAAAGGAGCAGCAGGTCGAAGGAGGTGATCCTGCCCCTCTACTCTGCTCTCGTGAGACCTCACTTGGAGTATTGTGTGCAGTTCTGATGTCCTCAACATAAACAGGACATGGAAGTGTTGGAACAAGTCCAGAGAAGGGCCACGAGGATGATCAGGGGACTGGAGCACCTCCCGTATGAAGACAGGCTGAGGAAGTTGGGGCTGTTCAGCCTGGAGGAGAGAAGGCTGCGTGGAGACCTCATAGCAGCCTTCCAGTATCTGAAGGGGGCCTACAAGGATATTGGGGAGGGACTCTTCATTAGGGACTGTAGTGATAGGACAACGGGTAACGGGTTAAGACTTGAACAGGGGAAGTTTAGATTGGATATAAGGAAGAAGTTCTTTCCTGTTAGGGTGCTGAGGCACTGGAATGGGTTGCCCAGGGAGGTTGTGAATGCTTCATCCCTGGTGGTGTTCAAGGCCAGGTTGGACAGAGCCTTGGGTGTTATGGTTTAGTGTGAGGTATCCCTGTCCATGGCATGGGGGTTGGAATTAGATGATCTTAAGGCCCTTTCCAACCCTAACTAGTCTATGATTCTAAATTTTGACACTTCTCCCCTCATTAGGTAGCAAAACTTTCATTTGCAAGCCATGTTTTTTCTATTTGTGCTCAGTTTCCTATGTGCCTGAGACACAGGACCGGAGGGGTCCTGCATGCTGCCTTTTGACCAGTAACACTTTTCACGGCTTCCAGAGGAGCAGAAATCAGTGAGATTCGGTAAAATCTGGAGAATAATTTCATAAATATGTAAATAAATAAAGAGGGGGAAATGCAGGAGTGAGCTTTTGAAAGGCACATTTCACTTCTAAAGCCACATATGTTACACAGGATGGCAGAAACGGATGACTGGCCACTTGAAGGTCAATCTGGTGGACCTGCATTGCATCTGAGAGACTACCTAACTTGTGCTTCAAAGCTTTCAATAATGGAGATTTCCACTGCTCCCCATCAGTCTATCACAGCTCTCCAATTCCTATAGCCTTAAAATGACTTCCTAAATATCAGCACTAATCTCCATCACTGAAAGACCTACAACTGCTTGTCTTGCCCATGGTCGACGATATTTATTCTCTCCTTCTTTGCAGTTGCTTCAGCAAATGAAGCAACAAGACTTCTTGCAAAAATTCCTCATATCATTTCCACACCTTTGCTCAACTGTGTCCCCCTCCTTCAGGCATTTATAACTGGGTTTGGAAGTTTGAATAGGCAAGCCCACAATGTTTTCCTAATTAAAACTAACCAACATTAGTAAAGGCAAAACTGCTCTGTAAAACCGCAGAAACATTGTTCTCCTGCTCAGTTGCAACTTTTTCTTGGAAACAATTATAATTAGAGACCTATTTTTTATTTCAACACAAGGGTCTGCTGTGGTTTGAGTTTTGTTTGGGGGAGAGGCAGATTTTTTTGGCTGGCCAGTCAAATGAATTCACATAGATTTAACCTCTGATGTAGAAGACAGGATAACCCATTAGAAGTAAATGGCTTGTCCAGCATGAAATACTGAAGGGCTGGTTTACGTTTGTATTGCATATGTTGCCCCTTAGCATCTCTTTTTAAGTGATAACCATGACCCTGTGTATCCTGTTTCATACAGTGATGTATTTTGAGTTTCACAGTGATGTTCAGCAGTGCAACCATTCCTTCCGCAATGAGCAGCAGTACCCTGAGGATGTAATTTGTTACAAAAACCTCTGCCAAGGCTGAATTGCGTCCTTTTTTATCCCCTCAGCTACTTCTAATCTTGCAATGTGGTGTCGACCCAATGAGAAAGCTGACTTGCACCACATAAAATGAAGACGTGAATGGAAACTTCGGGGCTGTCAAAGGCTCCAGTGGGGTTTAGCCCCAGGTATCTTGTTAAATTCTTGCCCATGATTAAACCCTGTGGGCCTGCAGGAAATAATTGACTACAGGGGAGCTCACCCACATGGAGTCAACGCTTGGTTGCCCCCAGAGTCTTGTCAACCGTGGAAGAGCAGCAAGGAAACTCCCTTTTTAACAGAGAGAATGGAAAGAATGAGGGGAAGGAAGGAAGACAAATAATGATGAAGTAATAATGTGCCCAGGTGTTCCCACTCTGCCCAACACAGTGCTGTGACCCCCGCGAAAACCATGGTGACCTGACCAAAATGACAAAAAGCCTTGTCTGCACATAAATACAGCTTCAAGACATTTTAGAATTCTCATGTTGTAACAAAACTGCCACAGAGAATTAGAAGTTGAAAGGTCAGTCAGAAAGAAAGTCACAAAGCAGAAATAAAAGAGCTGATAGACTTGTCTGAAGGAGAAACAGAGCCCAGAGTGTGCAGAAGTGGGATGCGCAGCCTGGGATATCTTGGGCTTATTTAACAAAGGCTAGGGAGCACACCATTTCAGCTGAAATCCCAGGGTATTAAAGCATCCCTGAACATGCCATGAGCATGGCAGAACATGAAAGTCATTAGAAAAGCAGACAAAGAAAAATCAGTATCATCTTCATGAAATTTTCACTAAAATATGTCTTGGGTCTTTCCTCCTTCATCAGAAAGTTCAGCCTTTGAATTCATAACCCTCAAGGCACAGTGATAGCTCTACTTTGGTAGAACAAATCAAAAATGGGCCAAAAGTTTTGTGTTTTTTTTCACAGAGTTTTGTGCATCAGTATAACAGTAATCATAGAAACACAGAATCACAGAATGGTTTGGGTTGGAAGGAACCTTACAGATCATCCAGTTCCAACCCCTTCCACGGGCAGGGACACCTTCCACTAGACCAGGTTGCTCTGAGCCCTGTCCAAGCTGGCCTTGAACACTGACAGGGATGGGGCAGCCACAGCTTCTCTGGGCACCCTGTGCCAGGGCCTCACCACAAGGGAAGAACTTCTGCCTAAGAGCTCATCTCAGTCTCCCCTGTCAGGTTAAAGCCATTCCCCCTTGTCCTTTTGCTACAGACTCTTGTAAAATGCTCCTCTCCAATAATGCTTCAGGAGGGAGGTCTGGGAGAAAAAAACAAAATGTGGACAAGAGATTAGAAGCTCTGCAGCCCTCAAGACTTCTTATAAAAATTATTTAAACCTTGACAGAATGACTAATGGAGTGTATTACTGAGGGTGCCTTTCCTGCCCTACACCTATCCTTTTTTTCTTCTTCGTTTCCATCTACCTTCTCTTTTCCAGCACATACCAGAGCAGGGATTGTGTGTGTGCACTGCATGCTGCAGGGGCCCTCTCTGCTGACATTGAAGTTGCACTTTCAAAATCAATTAAATATCACAGCATTCCTGCAAGAAAGGCAAGAGATACCCCCATTTCTCTAGTGGTCTAACTGAAACACCTTGAAGAGCATTGCCTTGCCAGGCACCACTGGCCACGAGGCACCGAATGAATACCAGAGGAGGTCTGAGATGCAAATACCATGCAACGCTGCAACTGCTTTTCCTTCCCAGAAGTGGCATAGCAAGCAAGATGGCTTCCGAGAGATCCAGGCTCCACGTCAGAGCACTGTGGAATTTTGAATCTGGCCTAAATTTTAATCAAGAATGAAAGTTATGAACCTAGTGTAGACTCTGCATGCATGGGGATGGGAACTGACCAAAGGGCAAAACATTAAGTCCATCCTCCCCATGACTCCGCTGGAGATCTCCAACTTGCCAGAAGCTTTGTCCACAACCAGCTTTAACCTGACAATGGCTTTACCAGCCTGAACGGAGGAGCTGATGGAAACAAAATATTACCTCCAAGGAGACCATCCAACCCATCAGCAGGGCAAAAGAAAGCAAAGATCCTCCACCTCAAATGGGCCTCTTGGCAGAAAGGGAATTAAAGCTTCAGCCTTCCTTTCTACCACATGCGACACCCATGCCTCCAGCTCAGCAAAGACTGCCAAATTGGAGCCTGAGCATTCAAACTTCCACTTCCCCTTAAAATCAGAATTAGGTTCCTGATTTCACTTTCTCCCCTCTCTTTCACCATTCCAATGAATTCAGCTGGAAGAAACTCATTCACGCCTTGCTATTTATCCATCTACTTTTATGCTTTTTAAGAGAAAGAGATTTATCTGTGCCCAAGAGAGGACCTGCAGGGCCAGTGGATGACTTAGAGCATCAGTCCCACCTCAACAAGCACCCCAATTTCAGGACTGAAACACTGCCAGAAGGAAAGAAAGATGTGCACCCTGCCCCAATCCGCGGCAGCAGTGTGGCCCATTGAATATCCTTCACCCAGTCTTTTAAGGGCTTCATTACCACTATCTCATAGATGAGCCAATGATCTAAATGATCTAAGGGGATGCACCCAACGGAGCACCAAGCAATAATCAGGCAGCAGGAATGAAGCAAAATTGCTGGAAAACTGTTTGCACTTACCTGGTGGGTCCTATGTTCCGATTAAATCATGTCCCACTTGATCCTAGCTGTCCATAAGAGTTAAAAAATCCCTCTCAGGGTGCACACTTAAGAACATAAACAGTGTCTTGATAAGTTTTAATCCTTAAAGCAGGTAGAAAGAGAAACCCTAATTTTAATTGGTGACATCAGTTGACTGCTGTTAGTGGTTTCCTGTCGATAAGAGCTGAATGACAAATCAAACTGGTTTGTTATAGCAATTAAGAGCTGGTAGTATAACCACACTGCTCCTTTAACGCTAATGTTAGAACAGTGTCTACCTTAGAAGAGCCGTTACCCACAAAGGCTCGGTAGGCTATAAAAAGTACTGTCCTGCTACAAATGATGCCCTGAATCACTGTCATTCAGGCTGATGTGACTTGAAAATCATCCCCTTGAGCCACAGGGTGTAAAACTGGTCTGCAGATGGGAGGAGAAATATGGGGGTTTGAGTTTTCTAGATTGGCCCATTCACAGCTAAGATCAGCCTGGGCCAATAGGAGGCATGGAGATACTTATTGCATGCACTTAACCTCTGGGAGAGCTTATCTCCAGTCAGGTTCTAATCTGAGCAGTTTCCCCTTTTGTAGTCAACTAGGTTACGGTGCTGTAATCTCACTCACTTTCCATTTTCAGGTTCTATTTCTGCTTAAAATCTCACCTAAAGAGCAACTTCTCCTCACTCTGCAGAGCTGGCTGCCTTTCAGTAATGAGTACAAGACAGCTGATGCCATTGAGGGCATGGGGGTAAGAGAGTTACGGGAGAGAGCTGACAGCACATCCTCATATCTCTTGATCGCTTGTATGTAATATCTTGTAAGATCTGCCTGTCCTCTGTTTTGTGCAATCAGCTACTTGATGTATTGCAAAAAGCTTTGCCTGCGCTGAGCTCCCAGTGCCCACCTGGACCTGCTGTGGGCAGAGACCAGCTCAGATCTCACTGTGCAGGTGCCTTTTTCCTCCTGCTATCCCCAAGAGTCTTTGAGCACCATGCAGTATTCCATTACTCTCATTCCCACCCTCATCAGCAGGATTTCAGACCCACCAACCTGGCTGAAGGTCAGGAAGCTGGTGTGTGTCACCTACTGATCCTGCTGGATTTTGGATACAGCCTCACCATGTCAAGACAAGAAGAAAGGCAAGCCAGCCAAAGAGGACAATAGGAATCCTGCCTAAGACTGTTTAACCGACAGGCTGCTTGTCAACTCTTTTTTGAGATGGGTGATGGCAACTTTATGTCAGAGAAGTCTGAATCTTGAGTCTCGGTCCTGCAGTTCTAGGTAGCATCAGTGCCTGAGGTAGCAGCCTGCTGCTAATGGGTGACTAGGGGATGGAGACAACCTCCAAAGCATGGATCTGTCTGGGACAGTGGTTACTGGGAGTGCTCTGTAAAAATCTGATTTAATGGCTCATTCCCTAGGCTGAAAAAGCAGCAAGCAGAAGAATGTAACAAACAACAACATTTCACTTGTTTTCATTTAAATGTCCCCCCAAAGGGTCAGTTTGATCTAGGGAGATGAAAAAAGAAGTTGCTGTGCTGACAAAAAAGGTCAAACCCAATAATTTGTCTTTCATTTTTGGCCCTGAGCTGAAGCTGTTGTCCAGATTAAGTTTGTCTGGCCACAAAGTGTTGAAGTGAAACTCTGTTTTCTGACAATCAGTTACAAATCCTGTAAATTTCACCCAGCTCTTGACATGAAAGTGAGTAGAAACTGACTCTGGCACCAAAGGGGATGACAAGGACAGGGGTGCTGCAGCTTTCTATTTCATTGTTCATTCATCCTAACTTAAAGCAGGTATCTGAAATGGGCTTTCCTTATCTTTCCATTCCTCGGCTCAGGAAGCCAAGGAAATAAATTGAGGGTAATCACAGAATTTCTGAACTGAAGTTTGAGGAGATGGTGTCCACCCAAGATACCTCCATTCTTGTGTTTTTCAATGAAGATGCCTTGACAAGGTAGCCAGGTAGAACTGGAAGAGGAATTTTTGGCTCACTAGCAGTCTTGGGAAATAATTTACAACAAATATTTTTGGTGAAAGTGGAACTCAAGTCCTTTTTCCAGCAGAGAAGCAATAAAAGCTACGCATCAGTCCTGAGATTTTAAATATCCTTTACTTATATGGGTTGCTGCAACAAACCGGATTAGAAGGTTTATCAAAGGACAATCATTACAAATGAGCCACTTCAAACCTTCAAAAAGGTTTTGATTTTCTTTGGAAATGATTTCTAGTTCTTCAGGGCTTGGGAACTTTTTTGGAGTTGGAAGGAGAGATAACCCGCTAATAAACACTTGCAAAATGAGTTCTGGATTCAGGAAACGTGTTTCTTTTAACCTATGAAAAAACAGATGGGCTGAAAATTCCCACCATACTTTTGATAGGACTTCAGGCTCAATTGCCCTTTGCTTTTGTCTTGGATAATGCCTCACCTGGGAGAAACCCGTGGAGAAAATATTGCTGATACCCCAAGGCAACAAACAACACAAAAACCACCACGATATTCCATTACGGTGAAACTTATGAAATCTGATTTCCTGTTGATGCTTTGGTGTTTAATACCCTGTCGTGCTCACCACGAAGCTTTTCCTCTGGTGGACTTAGTCTTCTCATGCCTTTGCTCAGCAATCTCTTTGCATCTTTGAAACGTTTCCTTCTCTACCAAACTCAGCTAGAATTCACCTGAAAGTTTACAAATTATTTGATGGGAGGGGTTAATGGATGGACCAACAATACAACTGGTTTGGAAATTCATAGGAAAACAAAATATATATATGAATATGTAATATATATAACAAAATATATGTGTATGAAAATACATAAGAAAGAAGCATAACAGCTCACAGGGATGGCATTTGCATGAGGAGGGTCAAGGTTAAGAACTATTCCAAGTAGTGGTAAAATATTTACAGTTCTTTGCCTTGAAGCACTTCACATACCTCCATCTTTCCCCTGCATCCCTACATCACCGCTCTTCCTCCACCTGCCTGCAGGATATATGGCCCAATAGCCAATTTACCTCTTGCTTGAACTTGTATTATGCTGAAATAGCCTCAGCACTCCCTGACTCTTTATTCTAGGTTCCCAGAACCCTATTCCTCCCCATGCCCCATCCCAGTAATTGACAACTAGTGTACAGCAGGTTCAGTCTGAAGGTGGGGTCAGGCAACCCGTTCCATGGGAAAAGCAATTCCTCAGTCCCAGCATGCACATCATGTTAGCAGGAAGAGCAGTTTATGCTCAGCATCATCCAGAAGCAGAGCAGCACCGAACACATGGGTGCAGGGGCTTGTCCTTGCAGTGGGTTATTTCACCTGTGTTGCTCAGAAACCTCATGCCATCCCAGCTGAGAAAAGCCAGCTGAAGCCGTTAAACAGCTGACCCAGACTAAACAACAGAGCACTACTGAAAAAGGCCAGCCCCGGGTCCCTCAGTGGTCCATAATCAGGAGCAGCCAGGGGACCACAACCCTCTGCAGGTCTTCTCTAGTGGCATCAGTTCCCTTGGGGTGACCAGGGGACGGTATTAGCTGGAGACCTACTGCCCTCTGTAGGTGCCTCTGCCACATTTCCAGGATGATGGGCTCCCAGGTGGCCCTCCAACCATATCAGAGGAATTTCCTGGCACAGGTCCCTGTGCAGGGAGTGAAGGCTGCACTGGCTATGATATGATGGTGATGGTTGAGATCTACCCATCCCAGCCTGGGCAGGCTGAGCCCCAGGGGCTTGCTTTGGGGTGAATGTGTTTATTAGTAACTGAGAAGCAACCATGGATGCAAGATGCTCCCACCTCATGGTCCCACAGAATGGCCACACACCCCTGATGGGAGGTCCAGGTCTTCCATGTTCTGTTGACAGGATGCCTGCAAGGAGAAATCACCCAAAGCCAGGAGCCAGGGCAAGAATCAGATGGTTCAAACACAAGCTGTGTTGAACTGCTGCCATTATAGCAGAGGAAAGGCCATTTCTGTCCATTTCAGGTGTTACAGAAGCAGCTCAGAAGGTCCAGATAAGATTCAGCTGGCTATAGGGCACATCTACATTTACAGCATTTGTGGTACTCAGACTGGCAAAGGATATTTGGGTTCCCAAGAAAATCTGGAGGGAATTGTCACTACAACAAGCAATTCCCAGCTTGGGCTTTGCAAAACCACATCCTAGCAAGGACCCAGGCTTGGATCCATGTGTTCCCAAGTATTCAGGAGTCAGCTGGAAAAGCTGCTGTTTTCAAAGGTGCTGTGGGGTGTAGCCCTGGGAACTAGAGCTCTGAGTGCAACAGAAAGGCCTCGCTGTATCTGAGCAAAAGAAGAAAGTCTGAGCTATAACAGTGTTGGTGTTGCATAGGTTTATTTTGACTCGTCGCACCTAATCTCAGGTGCCCACTCGTTGGGGTTAAAGCCTCATCACTGGGAGCATTGTGGCTCTTCAGCGGTTCCTAACTGCAGGTTTTTTGGGGTGAAGACAACTTAAACAAGATAAATACAGGCCAAAAAACACTCAAAACCCATGAAGAGACCTCAGAAGGACGTGGCTCCAGCCTTTCACTGGTGTCTCATGGCAGCTCGTTTGAAATCCATTACACAACTAAATTAAAAATAAACATTTACAGAAGAGGGAGCGGGTGACAGTGTGTGGTCTGTTACTGCAATGAGATAAATGTCCAGCCTCGGAATCAACACCTCTGCTAGTAAACTAACCCATGCTAGACCTGCTCCCTGGCCATAAGGCCGACTGACCCTGTCTGGCTACATCCATGCAATCACAAATGCTCTTGGCTATCAAATCTGGGTGGCTGAATCCAGCTTGTCTCTCGGGAAGGGGCCCTGATGTTGCTCATTCCTGTCATGAATCCAGCCATGTCACAATCCCAGCAATGTCCTGGGATTGCTCATCCCACATCAAAACCAGACCAGGGTTTTGTGTCCTGTGCCTGTGCCCATTCCTGGCACTGTTTGGTTCAACAGCACAGACCCAGATTTTGTTTTGATGAGGTGTTGCAGGAAATGCTGAACCATCCATTTGCTGCTAAGAGCTTAAATGCAGCTGTAGATCAGCGTCAGATGGTTTTAGTATGAAGGCAACAGCTCTTCCATCTCCCTGGTCCCTTTCCATTGCCAGCATCCCTAGGAAGGGCGGGTGCAAGCCGGCGGGTGCCTGCTTGCAGCACAGCAAGAGCTGATCACCAGATTTGAGCTTGCATATGCGTATCTAAAATCTGACAAAAAGGGGTGCTGGCAAAGCAAAAAACATAAATGAAAACATTTAAACTACTTCTGCATCAGAAAGCGCTGTTCTTCACTCTTTGAATCTGCATTGCTGCATCTCGCAGGTGCCCGCTCCCCTGTGCTCAGTGCTGTACAGGCACAGCCTCCAAATTAGTGGGGGGGTCAGGAGCACCCCACTGTCTGCCTGGCATTCAAAGGGAAATCCCAACCCTGTGCTGTGGTTTGTAAGGCCCTTGTTGGGACACCAGAGTCTGAAAAGGGCTGTAAGTCTCTCCCTGATGCCGGGGAGGGAGAGGAGGGATGGTTTAGGCAGGAGAAGAGAAAGGTGAAAAGACACAAATGGAGGCTTCAAGGGGGTTTCTCTCACAAAAGCTGAATGTGGGAAGGGGCCTGGGTGGTTAGGTATCGATTGGCAACACTTAACCCTTCCCACCCCCAGGTTCACAAACATGGCCAGTGGTTCTGAGACACCAGATGTGCAATAGCTGCATGCGGGGATGCTTTTGAGAACTTTTCCCAGACATAAAGGGGTTAACCTTCATCTTCTGGTGAGGGAAAGAAACCCCCCCTGCCCCTGCCTTTGCTTCTGGCCCCAGCTCAGCCAGCAGCTGGGGCATGTGCCTCTATCAGTCCCTTCCTGGAAGCAGTGAAAATGGTTTCCAGCCCCACCAGGGGAGCCGTGGGAGCAACAGGCGCTTTCCCAGGCCAAAATACAGGCAAAAGCTGGTTTCTGAGCTGTTTTCTGTCTGGGGATGGATGGTGCCAGCAGGCGGGTACTAGCCACAGTGCCCTCGGATACCCACCCCAGGGCTTCCCGGAGATGCTGATGCAGCCTTGCAAAACTCCCCTCCACACACACGCTGACCCCTGGACAAGCCGTGGCATCTGGAAAACGTTATCCGAAAGCTCTCCTGGGTGCCAGCGGACCCCAGAAGGGCTCATAGCTCTCCGTGGCAATGAACGGGAACAGCCGCAGGAGGGACACCAGCCCGGTCTGTGTCGGGAAGAACCACAGGCTCCTTTGCGAGTAAAACAGCATCTCCTGCAAGCCTCCACAGCACCCCTTCATCCCTGTTACCCGCGCCGACAGCATCGCTCCCCCCTCCTCCCGTGTTTGGGTGCTGTTGTCGGAGGATGTTTAGGACCCAGGCCGCGCAGCTCCTCCCTTTCAGGTCTCTCTAGGGTTATTGCTTGGTGGGAGGTAGGTTGAGGGCTTGGTGGTATGAATGAAAGAGAGAGAGGAGCTCTGGACTGAAAAGCTCAAACTGGAATAGCTCGCCTGTCTCCAGGCAACAGGCCTGACGCAACCGCTGGGGGGGGGGGGAAGAAAGAGTCCCTTAAATGAGAGAAGAGAGGCACACACAGATTTCTGAAGCGAGGCAGGGAGGAGGATGAGGCAGTCTCCTGGAGGCACTGGTGGCACCGCTCTGCAAACACCAACTCGGAGACCAGCAGCGCAAGGAGGGAGCCAAGATGTCCGTGCCATCTTCCCTCTGACTCCCTCCCCGGTAAGTTAGTTGCTCGCGCTGGCTTGGCTGTGCTGGGGCTGGAGGGGAGCACGGCCACCCTGGGGACACCCCGCTGCGCTCAGCACCGGACCTGGCTGGGGAATTCCCGGTGCTAGAGGGGAGCCCTGGATATTTTAGCCCCTTGGAAAGGGGTAGCAGCACGGATCGGCTCCCTGGGGAGCAACGGGGTGGGGGTGATGGGACCCCATGCACCGTGAAGTTCAGCACTGGGGTCTGGAGTGCTGGCTGCGGCATGGATGGGCTGGGGGCTTGCATGCTCCCCCCGCAGTCACAACCTCCTGCCTCGCCAGATTCCCTGGAGATGGCCAGCATGGTGGCTCCCGTTGGCTGGGACTGGCTGGAAATCAGGGCAGAGTCCTCCTTTACGATGAGGCTTTTATATTTTGCAGGGAGCAGTGAGGGCGTACCCACCACCTTCATGGGGATTTTCCTGCAGTGGGTGAGGTGTAAGAGGGAAGAGTCTGTCCGGTTTTTGGGACAATCACCTGTTGCACCCTCTGCCCCTTCCCTGAGAGCCCTGTTAAGGTTTGCTGGCTCGTGCAGTGCAGACATAATGGGATGGAGCGCGGTGGCCTCACAGGGCGTAGTTACCTTTGGATTCTGAAGCAGGCACTGTGTGCTGAGCAGAGCAGGTTTCCACCTGCTCGGGTCTGGCCCTTGCAGCTCACGTTAACACTGAGCTGGAGGGGGGGGGGGATGTCAAACCACCCAGAACTTCTTCAGAGCCCTTTATAACAGCCTGGGGCTACTTGCTAAAACAATACCCTTCCAGCACAAGCATTCGTGCAGCCCCAACCAGCACCCCCCAGTGCGATGCACACCGCTGCACCCACGTCGTGCAGCCTGCAGCCTCCCAAGCCTGTGCACACTGACACCTTTCCCATATCAGAGACCCGCACAGGGCCAAGGAGATCCCTCCCTATTTCCCTGTGATGCTCCCTGTGTTATTTGGTATTGCTCTGCCCTCCGGAGCTTTTCTACAACAGGGACCTCAGTAGAGGGGGGTTAAAATGGTTGAAAACCAAGTGCCTTGTTTCCAGTGAGGAGCAGTGTCCAGCCGGTTCCTTTGGCTTTGTCTATTTATCCCCTGTTATCGTATGCGCTCCCCACTTTCCAGTGGGAGCAAGCCTGTTTTGGCTGCTGTGGGTTTTCTATGTGCCAGCCATCGTTTCAGCATAGCAGGGCTGTCGCTGTTATTTGCATCTCAGGTCTCCCCTGCTTTTGAGTGCCTATTGCAGTGGTACCTCTTCATGGGGGCATCTGTTCAACACAGAAATCAAGCAGAATGGGAGGGATCCGGCTTCCCCCGGGCTCCGGGCTTGCGATAGCTCCGCAGCCATTAGGTGTTTGCAAAACATAGCAGGGACACTGCAGAAAGGAAAAGCAGAAATAAGCATCCTCACAGTAACACAGCCTTCCCGAGGCTTTCTGTCTGCAACCGGCTCGCTTAAATAGTGTTAAATAACAAAGTGCAGCTCAGCACGGGGAGAAGGCAGGGCTGAGCACAGGGTGAGCGCTGCTCGGGCAGCTGCCAAGGCGGGTAATTGGATGGGACAGGGAGCGTGTAAAGGGGATTAGGCGATCACCGCAGGGCTGACCGCGCTCCCTGGCTCACTTTGACTCTGAGCCTCGGGGTCTCCAATCGGAGCTGGCCTTGGCACTTGTCTTTGCGGGGGGGAGCTCAGTGCCGGGCAGAATGAAGCCCAGCAAAGGCAGAAAGAGGTGTTGTTTCTTGCCTGGAAACACACCCGTCTGCCTTCCATGCTGCATCCAGGGGAAAGCAGCTCCCTGTGCTTGTCTCCTGGTAAGAGAGAGGGTCTCAGCCTGGCCTGGCTCATTCCCAAGGACCTTCACATTACCCTTGCTGCACGGGCAGAGACCCCTGCCTGCTCCGTCTGCTCTTCCCTTGCTGAAACGTGGCTGTGCTTGGGGTGGCAGCAAGGAAAATAAGGGAAGGAACTGGCCGTGAAAAGCCATGGGTCCTTTGGGGACATGTCTGGGGACAAGTTAGGTGTGTCACCTCCCATATTAGGTCCCCAAACCTGCTAGGATCCTGGGGCAGTGCATGAAGAAGCCACCTTTGCCCATAATCCATAGCTCCCTTCACCTCAACAGGCTTTATCAGATGACTGGGGTGGACGGTGTGTCTTCACCAAGAGCATGTAAACTTCTTGTTACTGCTGCTGCTTAATCCCTAACAATAATCATACCTGGTTTTGCCTGGTGGGCTGAGAGCATTGACTGCATCCAGCTTCCCAGTCTGCAAATATTTCCCACTCATTTGGAAAACTGGTTTATAGGAATGCCAAATATCTGGCAGTGCCCATCTTCGTGCAGGATTTCAACACAACTGCTGGAAATATGCTGACCAAGTGGGAGTGGAGCTGGTCTGAAAATGGAGCTGCTAGGGTCCATCTGAAGCAGGCAGCAATTTGAGTCCTGCTTCCTCGCAAGCAGTCTGCTTGAATTTGTGCAGAGGACACAGGAGAGATCAGGTGTAGGTAAGCAGGAATATACAGATGTATTTATCGAAACAGGTTGTTTCATCATCTGCTCATCATCTGCTAGTGATGCTGGAGGTTAGCCAGGGAGAAGTACCTGAGGGCAGGGAGTGAGTGCAAACTGGTCCTCTCTTATCTCTGCGCTTCTGCTCCACTCCTCCTGTCAGGCTGGTGGGTTTGCTGCAGCCCTCCAATGCTCTCCCCTGCACTGTAGTGCTTAGGGGTCATCCTGGAGGTTATTTGGGCAAACAGACATGTCAGGTTGAACCCTTCCCTGCGCCAGGTCATACGTGAATGGAAAGCCCCACTTCTTCCCTCTTTCCTCCATGTATCTGTGAATGCCATGTGCACATCCAAAGGGCTGAAGCAGCAGGAGTGGTTGTTTCCCAGCTTCTCACCTTAGCATTTGAGCTGTCTGGGAGATCTTATGGGGGTTTGTTCATGGAAGTAAATGGACAGGCATATCCAGTGCACTCAGGATCCCATTAATATAGGTGCTGTACCCCTATCTCAGCCTGCTGCATGGGGCACTTCTGTGACCAACTCTCCAAACCCCTGCAAAGGCATTACAATCTGGATCAGCCCAAGGATATATACTTGGTCTCCTCTCTGGGCTTTTGTCTGGTATGAGGCTGGAAGTCAGGTCTGCGTGCATGTGAAGGGACACAGCCAACATAAACAGCCCTGCAAGGAGGCCTGAAGGTAGGGTCATCAGACACCCATGCTTGTGATGCTCAGCTTGGTCCCTTCAGTGTCATTATATTGCCCCTAGAAGAAGGGACACGCTTACAGCCCACATGAGTGTGGCCAGGAGGTCTCCATGGGCACCGAGTCAAATGGGCACTGAGGGCTCTGACATAACATCTCCAGCCATACATGGACCCCCTTCCATCCTACCCCAGACATTCTGAGCAGGCAGAGAGCATCTGATCCTGACAGCACGTTTCAGGAGGGAGACCTGGTTTTGGGATCAGGCAGATCTTTAGGCTGCTGGAGTCTTCTCTTTTTGGAGGGAGGCTGAAGGTCACTTTGGGATAGGTGAGAAAAGCATTTGGGAACCAGATCAGTTTTCTGCGGGAGCAGTTTCAGGTGCTACAGAAAGGGATTGAGTGGCCATGTGCTGGATAATGTAACCCAGGAAGATTGTCTCTCCTCCAAGTCAGTGGGCTGGCTGGGGGAGCTATTTGGTTTCTGTAGGCGCCGTGTGCACAACAGCATGATGCAGCCATGCTCTTGGGGGGCTGTGGCAAGGAACCCCAGAGTGAGGAAAAGCCTGAGCTCACCAGAGCCCACACAGCACAGCAGCTCTCTCCCAAGTCATTTTGCCATGGGAAAGAGTGATTCATGTGCAGCCTCCCCAGAAGGGAGCCACTAGCTCCAAGGAGCTGCACTGTTGACCTAGACGGGTCTCTCTTCTCACCCGCTGCCAAGAGCCTCAGTATCTCTGCTGCCCAGAGGATGCTCAGGAGCCTCCATCCAGCACCGTGCTGCAGCCAGTCCTCCTTCACTCCATTGCTATGGCAACCTCCTTGCACAGGCATCTCCTCCTCCCTGCCCCACTGGCAACCTGCTGCAGACCTTCAGCGGGTCAGCTATCCCCACCCCGTTCCTGTCTGTCTTCTTGTTGTGCTGAGAAGGAAAGCAAACACAGCTGTTTCTGCATGGCATATGCATTCTGTGTACCGTCCCCCCACCTCTTGGTCCATCCTGGTATTTCCTCATCCCACTCTTTCCAGAGCAGGGTCTTCCTCACCCACTCGGACCTGCAGAGCTCGATGATGATGATGTTAAGCAGGTGTAATTTACTCTGGGGTTTTCTATTCCAGGATGCAAACCCTTGGAGCAGATGCCTGCAAATGGTCAGGGAAACTGCATCCCAAACTCCATGGATTATAGAGGGTGTCCCTGTACCAATTACAGCAAAAACATGGGCACTCAGACAAGATGGGGGGACCTCAAGATACCAGAGGTGAATTCTGTACATCTCTGAAGATCCTCAGAGCTTTTCCCTTGAAGACCAATTGCATGAATTGCCTACTCAGTGAGAGGAAACTGAGGCATAAAAGGGGCTGAAGTGCTTTTTGAAGGTCATTAACAGGCTGAGCCATTTACCCTGGTGAACAGGCTGCCCTGTTTACCCCATGCCGTAGGTCTCATCCATGGGCACCTCTTTACCCTGCAAAAGGGCTTCCCTCAGCCTGGGCTTTGTCTCATACTGGGGCTTTTTTTCTTCTTGGAGACTAGATGAGCAGCGTAATATAGACTTTTACAATCACTGCTCCTCCTCTGCAATAAAAAAATGGTGTTGCAGTAAGCTGAAGTCCACCAGGAATAGTGAAGGGAGAAGAATAATTTGCTCCCCGCACCTCTACCTTGGCTGATTGATTTATTCTTCTTTATCCCTCCTGTTTCCATCCTGTGTGTTTCTCCTTTCTTTTTCCCCCCTCTTCTCCTAGACTTCTTGCTCCCCGGAGTGTGACCTTCTAAAGTACTGTGTGCCCTTATTTATAGCCTTGAATTTATCAGGCTGTACCTGTGCTGCGCTAGCCCAGTACACAGCAATCAGTGCTGCTTCATGAATGCCTTATGTGCAAAGCTGACCAGGGCACACAGAGCTGATGGGGAAGGTACAGATGTATAAAACTTCTCAGGCACATAAAACACCCTCAGGGTAGAAGGCATCATTTTGTACAATCTCCCTTTTGACAGCAAGAAGCATCTGAATTCATTGTTTTCCATCATCAGTGATGATAACACAAAGCTTTTCTCACACCCCTGCTTGCCTCCTTATCACATCATACATGGTTTGTCAGGGGATTTTCACATGGCTCTCCTGACCCCGTGCTCTAAGGCATGGGCAGGGATATCAGAGGGGTGGGATGGAACAGGTCTGCATCCGCTTCAGGATTGGAATGGCTACAGTTGTGGTAGTAGATTGTGCTGCTGGACCTGGTTTGTTAGAGGATAGGGCACACTGTGAGCTTCACAAGGTGTGGCTGGCATAGGAGAGAGCAGGATTTGCACCACTGACCTGCAGCCATGCAAAAGCCAAGCCTCAGGGCATGCCAGCTCCATGAGTCTTGGCATGGTAGAACTTCACACACAATCCAGGTTGACAATCCTGTTATTTCTCTATCCTGGACGTGTGCTTCTGCTAATCCCTTTGCATTACAGCTTGCAGGGTAGGTCGGTTAAGCTGACTTTGCCAATGGAAACCTAACCCAAGAAAGAAAGTTTTTCTTGTCATTGCAGTGACCTGATGTGTGCTGTGCCTTTGGCATTGCTAGGATTCATGTAAGGGCCTGAGCAAAGGGTCTTAGGGAGATGGCAGCAGATCCTCACCCCATTTTGGTGCCAAACTGTTTCCCCTAATGAGGCATGTTCCTGAGCCTGTCAAGTGTGATAAAGAGGATAAATCAAGGGTTAATCACTTACATTCCCTTTCACAGGCCAGCCTAGAGGGAAACTGAGCCTGGGGCAGGGAGACTGCGGTATGTTGGTTTGAGCCAGAGGCCAGGTTTGTTCCTGGGAATTAGGTAGCTCCCAGGCTGCAAACAGGTTTGTATTACAGCCTTGCATACAGACACTTTTCACACGCTTACCACTTTCACATTTCTTTTTCCACAGGAGGTCTTTGACCCAAGTCCAAGGTACGGATAGGAAATTAGAGCCACTCCTTTCTGTCGTTTTTGAGTTTGGAAAGGCTGGGGAACAGACATAGCTATTTAGGGATGTCCCTACAGAGTGAGTGAGAAGTTTCCTTGTTACACTGGGGCGGAGGTAAAGGATGGGTTGGATTGATGCCACTGTTAGGAGGAAAATCAGCTCTCTCCGAAGCTGCTGGGATGCTCTTCCAAAGCTACTGGGGAAGGAGAGATGGGAGTGGCATTGTGACAAAAGGGATGTTCCAAACTGCTTTTTGTGGTCCATGCTATAAATGCTGATTGAGCTGTACCCGGGGCTCAAACAGCAGGAGTCTTTTCCACCCTGAGGATTTTATGCATGCAGAAGACACAGAAGAGTTTGTGAGGGCTCTGCTTTGTAGCTGTGGCATTTGGAAAAGTCAGTTTTACAATAACCATGTGATCTTTGCAAGGAGTTACCAAATCTTGTAGCTTAGAGCTGCAGGAGACCCTATTGGGCTGCTGGTTTTGGCCACCCCCAGCAATCTCCACCTCAATGGTCACGCAAAAAGCTCAGAAGTGAGGTGTTTAAAGCCATTAGGTGTTTTCCTTTTTTGATTTCGGTAGGCTGGAGCTGGAGACAAGTGAAATTCATTGACATGTCCTCAGCTCTGCAGAGCATACGTGCAAGAGCTGGTGGCAGCAGGGCCTGACTCTCCAACAGGGCATCACTCTGCTTTCCCCTCCAATACAATCTATTTCCCAACAGAAGGAAAACTGTCGCTGCTACAAGCATGAGAGCTGTTGGCTTCAACCTGATGTAGTATCTGTGTTTGCTCCTGCTCACTGTAGAACTCTCATTAACATAAATAAGAGCAGGAACAAGACCACAACATGACTAATTCTCCACCCCCAGACTGTCTGTGTGTATATTATCAACTCCTCCCTCGGCTCATGTGCCTGCTCACAAATGTGGGATAATTCTTGCTCTCTGTTGGTGTTTATTTTAAATTGAATCTTCTTACTGAAAAGGTTCTAGAGGTGTAATTATGGTCTGGATTTCAGAGTTACATGCGTCTTTGTGGGTGCAAATAGCAGGGAGAAGAATGACTGAATAACTCACAGTGCTGTGGTTTGGTGCATCCTGCTAGAAAGCTGTGTACGTCCTGGCTGGTCTTTCTGGGCATGTTACCAGGCATGCAAAGAAGTATTTGTTTTGTGTTTGACGTGTAGACTAGAGCTCCGAATCTATTCCTAGCTCAGCCATAGATGAGCATACGACCTTGAGGAAGTCTCTTATCTGATCCTACCCTCAAATGAATGCAGAAAGAGCCTGAGCTTAACTCTTGCAGAGTTGTTTGAGTACTCTGTCACTGCAGGTCCCATGGTCTGGTATAGCAGCTTTGGGCACAGCTTCCTGAAGACACACGTGGCGGCAGGAGGAGCAGGGAGGAAGCTCCTGGCCCCTCTGCACTAGTCCTCTACCAGGGTGTTTTCAAGGTGACCACTGGGACCATTCCCATGGGCAGACTGGACATGGCCAGTGATGGAAACCACAAGTTCAAGTCTCCCTTAGCACAGGCATCTGAATCCGGACTGGATTACTCCCACACTTGGCTGGGAACATGATCCTGCCCTGATCCTGATCGACAGGAGGGAGCTGAATGTTATGGCTGCAATTTGGCATCTTTGGCAAACCTAAACCTAAACACAGATTTGTAAAATATGGGGGCCCCTTTAGGACTGGAAGGTCAAAGGTTTCCCTGGAGCCTTCTCTTCTCCAGGCTGGACAAGCCCAGCTCTCTCAGCTTGTCTCCATAGGAGAGGTTCTTCAGCCCTCAGAGCATCTTTGTGGCCTCCGCTGGACTCAATCCAACTTCACCTGGCCCTATTTTACCCAAATGGAAAGATGCAGGTTTGCCAGTCAGGAAATCAGCAAAGTGGTCTGCACAGGCACCTCAACACCCAGCAATAGCCATTGCTGTCTTCTGAGGATGCTTGTTTGTGTGAATGTGTCTTGCCCTCCCTGGCAACCCTTTCATGGCCCCCTAAGTTAAGATTGGAGATGTTGGTAACCAGAGCTTCCCTAAAAGCCAGAGCCTGTCTGTTCCTGCCCCAAAAGCAGTCTGATAGCTGACACTCCCCAGGAGCTGATAGCAGCCAGGGAGCTGACACTCCCCAGGAGCACCTTGGCACCGTGCCTCTCCCAAAGCCTTCACTCCCTCCTATCTCTTTCCTCACTCTCTTTTCCCTCTCAAACTGGAAACCAACCCTCTCTTTTTTTTCTAGGTGCTCATCCAAGGCCAATGTGGTGCTTGAGCAGGAGCTACCACTGCTCTGGCTGTCCACTGAGGAGCTGTGTTTGACACTGTGATACCTGGTCAGACCTTGAGGGTTTCCCATCCTTGGTCCTTTGCAGCCCACCCCTATGCCTTTTGACTCCCAGAGAGGATGTCTGTACCCAAAATCCAAATAGAAGAGGTGCTGGACAGTATGGATGCTGGCTCTGGAGGTGCTGCTCCTCCTGATGACCACCTGAGGACCCTCAAGGCATTGACAGAGAAGCTAAGACTGGAAACCAGGCGCCCTTCCTACTTGGAGTGGAAGGCAAAGCTGGAGGAGCAGGCATGGAAGAGTCCTCAGCCAGCAGGAGTGGAGGAGGAGGAGACGGCTGAAGCCAAAAAGGCCATGGGAGAGACTGTCCCCTTGAGGAAGGTGCAGCTGCACCTCAATGGGAGCCCTGCACAGGACAAGGTGACTCTTACCTCAGGGAGAGTAGGTGGCTTTGAGAGCATCGATGAAGCTTTGACGTGGCTCAGGAAGGAACTGGTAAGTGGTTTCCTGTCCCTTTTATATCACCCACTTAATCAACAGGGAAAATAAAGAACAAGGAAACAAGTGACTCCTTGTTCCTACCTACCTGTTCACCTGCCCAGGTGAAAAGGCAACAAGCAATCACTGCATTTTCTGTGGCTGGCAGGAGCAGCCCAGGGAAGGGAAAAGATGAGTGCCAGAGCATCCATAACCTCAGAGGAGCCGAGCCAGTCTCAGCATCCCTTGGTGAAATGGTTGCTTGTACTGGTTAGGACTTGTTTGCAGTTTGCCCTGTCCCCTGCTTTCTCTAATTACATCTCAACACTCAGATGAATGCAACAGGTATGAATACCGCATGGATACATGGGCAGTGCTGGTGTAATAGCGCTTCTCCTGTGGGTATCACACTAGATGCTTCTTCAGGGCAGTAAGAGGGGAAGCATGTCTAGATCTATCCCCTAGGTCTGCTCTTGCACATTGTGGCTGTTTAGGAACTCCCTCAGTGGGAGGCTATATGCTGACCACTGTGTTTAACAATCATTAGTGAATCTGACCTCAGAGTGTTTGCCTAATTCCCCCTTTTTTCTTTAACTCATAACACTCTATAAGTTCTTGTGCTTCCCCCAGGTCATTTCTGCATGGTGAGACCAAGTGCTTCCTTTTGTTTCAAACTGTTGTGGCATCCCCTTGTGCTAACCATGTAAAACCTAACAACTAATATTCCTTTTTCTGCTGTATGCATGATGTCAGAACCTTATCTCAGCTTTTACAGGTTCATTGTTCGTTGGCTCCTGCTTCATTAGAAGCTGGTCTACATTTCTGTCATCCTCCCATCCCAGCCTTGGGTCCAGTCTTACACATATGTTTATTTCTCGTAGTTATGAATCGGTAGTTTCACAGAGAGGAAGAGAAGACAAAAATGGTACACTTATGCTGGGGAAACACACAGAGCCAGTGCATAGGTGCTGTCATTCATCTTGTAGATGTTGTGTTGCTATCTGTCATGGTCTTTGGCACAAATCTGGCCTGGACCAACTAGTGCTGCCCGAAACAGCTTCCAACCCAGCTCAGGAGTTAGTGCAGTGTAGGGATCATTCCCAGAAGGAAGTGTGGATACAGCACATCTTTTCTGAAGGCCACAGGAGGTCAATAGAATGGACATGACAGGATCAGGGCAGCTGCTTTCAAGGCTAGAGAATAGGCCCCAGTGCTCTTCAAGTGTATGAGCAAGCAGACACCAAGACCCCACTTACAAGTGATCCTTCCCGTCTCCTCACTGGAAAGAAGTCTTTATTGTTTGGCCCACATAACTGTACAAAACTCTGGTGTTTGTTTCTGGTGGCTAATTGGAAGCTTGCCTGTGAGTCCCACCAGCATTTGCAACTGTATTGACAGTGGCATCATTTGCAGCAGCATCCCCAGGGCTGGGATATCACTTGCAGTTCAGATGCACTTATGAAAACGTTCCTGTGCACATTTTGCTTGTGATAAGCACCGAAAGTCTTTGAGGAAAACTTCTTGTGCACGACAATGAGTAACAGTTTTGCAACTTTTGTTTCAGATAATATTTATTTTCACCTTTTTGGTGCTCCTACTGTATTCGCCCCGCTAGATTGGTCTCTGGAGAAGTTATTTACAGAGGTGGTTCAGGATGTGAACAACCACCAGTTGTGATGTTTGAGCTGTTTCTCAGGACCATGGCTTTCAGAAAGCAGCTTCAGTGCTATCAGGAACCCAGGACTGTTAGGAAGAGTTTTGAGCTCATCTCCTAAAAATCACTCAGCACTCTGGAGAATCTCATCTCCAGACCTGAGACCTGAATTGCAAGCCCATGCTTGCATCTCTGATGCAATCTTAAATTCACATCACACTTGATGTAAACCCCAAATCTCAAGGTGCCCAGGCAGTAAGAAGCAGATTTTCCTTCTCAGAGCCCTGGATTTGAAGAGATTTGTTCTTTCAGTTTCTGCCCATGATGGAAGTATAAATTGTCTCAAGAGTCTGATTCTACCCTTTTGACTGGGGTGTGGTATATAAACCACTGTCTGACGAAAACTGAAACTTTAAATTAAAGAAGAAAAAGGGCAAAGTAAACCCTAATTGTTCCTCACTTTCTATTTTCTTGCCTCATAATTATACCGGTCTTTTCTGGATCTGGACGTGACTTATGTAATTTAGAACAATTTCCCCCCAAAAGAGAGCATGTATTTGACTGACCACACAGCTAAATAGCTATGTTGGAGGCACTATTGTTGGGTAAGAGCTGCCAGCGAACAGCAAGAACACAGTAAGGCCAGCGCATCACAGGATGCTGGAACAAAAGGATGCATTTCACATTACATTTCAAGGGTGAAACCCAGTTTCTTTGCAAATAAGCGAACAAGCTTCCACATATCCCAGCACCCCCAGGATTTCTCTGTGTTTATCCTCATGTTGTGATAGTAAAGCAATCAGGAAGGCTTCATAGAAGGATATGGTTATGCCTAAGTGTATGTATTTATTTAAGGCAGGAGTAAAGGCCAGAAAGTGCACCATCCCTCAGACAGCACCCTGCTTGGGGCAGCCAGGCAGGACACCAGCACTCTACAGATTGGGTAAGGTCAACCTAAGTGGGAGATCAATCTTTCTGATCTGATTTAACATAGGAGACCATAGACCTGGGAGCACCATGCAACCCAAGCAAGTGTTAAGTATCCTGGGCAGCTTTCTGAAGGTTATCCTAAACGATCCAGTAGTCATAACTGAGGTGAAATCTGCCTCTGCCATGCTGTACTCTGCTGCACGATGAATTCTCCCCTACTCTACACAGTCCTTCATGCAAAGTCAATTTGGGGTATGCAGGATTCATCTATCCAACTAAATGGCAAAAGCTGGTGAATGTAGAGATTTCTATCCAGGAAAGAAGTACACCAGCCAGTGTCCTTGCTGGATGTGTGCAGCTCCATCACTCACTCTGTGCAACCCTCACCACAGCTACCAGCGTGTTTAGGCTGGGTTATTTCAGTAGCATGGCCCCAGCATGGTTTTGGCTTGTACCAGATAGCACCCTGCCAAGCAGTTAGAGCTTCAGGAGTCTGCACATGCTGGTGACTGTTCCCAACAAGCAATTTGTACGGGACCACCCAATTTTGGAATTAACTCTATCCCAGCCGAAACCAGTAGAGGTGGCAAAGTGACTTCAGTAGCACGTGTATGCCCATGCATGCCCCCGGCCATGGTGGCACAGAACAGGCTATGGCATGGGTTAGTTGTGCAGTGAATTAATAGTCCAGGAGTTCCTAGCTTCAAAATTAAAGTTACCTGTTAAACCTGAATCATTACTCCCATTCTACACAAAACACATCACCTACTCTAGGTCATGCTTTGCCTAGGAAGGTTGGACCAGATGTCCCCTGAGGTCCCTTCCAACCTGGTGCTCTACAGTTCTGTGATTCCATGCTGCAAGGAATTTGCCTCCGTGTCTCCAGGGTCTGCTCGGGTTCAGCTTTTGGCAGGTTGAGGCTCCTCACGTTCAGAAGTGAAGGGCAAACCCAAGGTCTTACTGTGCATCTGCTGTTCTTGGTCTTTCACCCCACATGACCTGTCCCAGGACCTGATTCTGCACATCGAGTCCTGGCCCTGCTTTATAGGACTGACATATGCCCACTGAGCTCCAGCCAGCTGCGTCAGATGGGGCCTGCTGAGAATCTGGCCCTGAGAAGCTGATCTATTCAGCCATGCAAATTCCTGCTCTTGTTTTTGCGCTGAGAGGCTCTGTGTAGGTGTAGGAGCAAATTGCAGCACTCAGCATGTGCTGAACTGCCTCAGGGCTGCAGCACTTCCCTCCCCAAATCCTCCTGCCTCTTCTTTGCCTACATGTTTGCCTTTCCACTGTCAAGTGTGGCTGCTCTTCATCAGTGCTGGAAGTAGAGCCATCACCAGCTAGGGTATGGTGACAGACCCAAGGATCAGAGCGGTCAGACTGCACTTTCCTCTTTGGTCTTGAAATTTGACAGGTTTTACGAGTTCTAAAATTAAGCCCTCAAAGTCTTCTTCCTCTTAAATGTGGTTAAAGAACAGAGCTGTGAACTGGGACATCTTGGAACAGTTCTGACTTTGTCCCAGTAGGAAAATACTTTTTCCATCTCAAATTCGCCAGTGTTTGGCATTGAAATCTGAGGTGTTTGAGCCAGAATGCAGAGAAGACTCTTGAAAAGGGACACAAATGCCTGATGCATTCTCCTGGGAAAAATATAAAACACCCATGTTCTGTTCATCAGATACTTAATATTAAGTATTAACCACTATGATCTCCTTTTGGGATACTGATATTTACTGAATAAGTACTTAAATTAACTTAAACAATGATGCAGCACCAAAATAATGCTGACACAAGCCTCACAGCAGATTGCTCTGTGGTTGTTGGGAGGTGAAGAGTAGGAGGACTGTAGGGAATAGATATGGTGGTGGAGACTGTCCTGCATCGGGAGTCCTCTGTTACATAGCAGATCCTTGAAAGATTTGTCTGTATTTGTATTTAAAGCAATGAAAGGACCAGAGCGGGGTCATCTCTACTGTTAAGTTCATAGAACACTGAATAGTTTGGGTCAGAATGGACCTTAAAGCTCATCCAGTTCCACCTCCTCTGCCATGGGCAGGGACACCTTCCACTAGACCAGGTTGCTCCAAGCCCCGTCCAACCTGACCTTGAACACTGCCAGGGATGGGACAGCCACAGCTGCTCTGGGCAACCTGTGCCAGGGTCTCAGTAGCCCCACAGTGGAGAAGGAGATGAAAGAAATACCTCATCTGGGGCTGTGGGTTGCAGCAGAAGGGCATGAGTATATACAATTAGCCATAGCAGAGTAGCATCTGAGCACCTTTGAAGATAAAGCCTCAGACCAAAACACACACTTAACTGACTTCTCCGAAGTGTTTGGTAAGGGCCTAATAATTGGCCAGTGCTTCTCCATGCTTGAATCCAAGTGGCTGCACGCAGTTTGGAAAACACCAGTTTAGATTTAAGTTTCTTTTGATCTTTTGGAAATCAGAAGGATTAGCTCCATGGGAGCAGCCACTTCCCTACAGACCTGAGCTTCATGGACCACAGACTAAGACTTTGTCCATGGGACAATTCTCTTTCGGGAAGAGGTCCCAAAGAGCTCCTCATCTCCATGTTTTGGGGTACTTGCTCTCTGCTGATACATCTCCTCATGGGTGGACCACTGGCAATGGATCTTCCTGACTGACCATATAGATAAGGCGAACTTGAAGACAAGTCTGGACTAGGCTACTGAGACTGGACAGCAGGCAAGGATGCATCCCTGTCTGTTATGTCCCTCCCCCGTGTTAAACATCCCTGGATGTCTCAGAGGCTCATTCCAAACAGAAAATCCTTTGTGGGCTCATAGTACCCTGTGGTCCAGCTTTGTGATTCAGTCTAGCAGTTGCAGTAGCTCCTCTGCCAGGAAGGACCTGAAACTGGCAGCCTGTCCATCCCAACAGCATGCTCCAATCATGCAGATGAAAGGCAGCTCTTTGCCTGGGTTAAAAAGTGGTTGGTGTGAGCAAGACATACCTAAGGTTCTTCCTTCATTTGGCATGTGAAACTTGAAGGAAGCAAAATGCATGGCTTCTGCTGGGTGCTCCCTGTGGGTTTCCCCAGGACATGACACAGAGTGTGTGGGATCATGCTGTCATCCCACACAGAATAACTGGTTCATTGAGTTACTTTGTGGTGACTGTCCCTGTAGATGAACTGTGTAAACTGAAAACCCCATGGCTTCCCGTGATGCGGGCCCTGTAATCTCATTATTTCTTTGTGGAGCTCTGCTGACCGGAGAGTGCTCCTTTTAAAAAGTGACCATTCATAATTCCTAGCTATGGCTGGCTCCTCAGCATGGGACAGATTGAATGTTTCCGGGACTCCTGTGGAGCCTCTGGGAAAGGGAAGGAGAATGAGGATTTCTGGATTCTGACCCAAATTATGCTAATATTCTGTGTGGTTTTGAACAAAGCAAGGTTTAATGGGACAAGTCCGTGGAGGGGGGACAGGGTTTTGCATCTCAAGCCAAGCTCCAGTGATGAGTGGGAAGAGTGAGAGACTGATAGCGTACATCTGACTGGCCAACCTTGCTTCCCCATTCAGCCAGCAGCAGAGAGTGAGTTGTATCCAAGACAGTGTCAGAGCTTAGGTGATCAGTGTAGATGGGTGGTGGGTTTGCTCTATGCCATGTTGCTCCCACCCTACAGGTAGGCCAGCAGGCCATGTGGCTGGCTCAGTAGATGTCAGGGAGAGCAAGTCTGATGGAGGGAAGGAAGGGTGAGTGGAGATTGAGCACCCAAAGGACATGTCCTGGAGGGATTTCGACTTCCAGCTTGCATGAAATCAAGACAGCTTCCTTAAAAGACAGGGGAAGCAAGAACAGGCCAAAAGTGGAAAGCTGGCTCTCAAGGGAAAAACAGCAACCACCAACTCACATCCCTCTCCACAATGGCCTCGTAATTAATTTTTAAACCCTTTGTGGCAGTGGTGACTTTCTTAATCTCACATTCTTGAAAGCATTTGTTGACATTTCTCATATATCTTGATAAAGTGACAAGAAAGAATGACCACGGGTCAGTTTAATAATGCCCACGATCGCCTTCCTGATAAAATGTCAAGGCGCAGCAGTGGTTGTGAAACAGGGAAAAATATCAACAAAATAAGGAGGTTTTTTTCATTGCAACTGAGATGGGAGAAGAAAAACCTGCCCAGTGGTGTTACTCTGCTGGGGGCACAGGCTATGAAGTCCGCAAGGAAATAGTGTTTTTTTGAAGGAAGCAACTCTGCCAACAGTTTGAGATTCCCTGAGACAGAAAAAGAGATTCACTCAGGGACTGGTAAAAAGGTGGCCATACCCTCTCCAGGCAGCTAAGCTGGAATCCAGTCGCTGACTGAGAGCAGTAGGCAAGGTCCTCCAGGATGTTTCCATGGTCCAGGATTGAGAAAAGCCTTGCTTGGCTTGGATTAACTTTCACTATACACATATCACCTCTCATCTTAGGCTCTGAGCACCGCATTGCAAAGGGCTTCCTGACAGCTGCAGAAAACATCTGGAGCAGAGCGAGGCTTCAACATCATAAGGTGGCTGCTTCACCTCGCTGTGAGACTGGAAATGTTGCAAGGGGTGATCCAAATGTCTTTGGAGGCATTGCCTGGGCATTGCCTGGAGGAGGAGGGATTATGCCACAAGCTAGAGCAATCCTGAGATTGCTGTGGTTCACATCCTTGTTGTAGCAGCCCATGCATCAGGCATCAGAAAAGCCTCATGCAGAAATACCAGAGCCACCTGTGGAGCCTCTCAAGGGGAATTTTCCCTCCTCCCTTCCCTTCTGCAGCTTTATGTATGAGTCACCAGATCAGGAATAAATTTACCCCCAACCCCTTGAGCTACATCTGTACTTGTAAACTAAACAGTTTGTTTTTGTGCCTGGAGGCAACTTGTATGGTCTGACTGAATCCACACTTAAAATCCAGACAAGGGGCTGTAACCCAAATGCCTGCTGAGGATGAATCTCTCTATGTTAACTCCTGAAGAATGCCTGTGGGGAATAGCTTGGGATTGTGAGAGCTGGCCTCAGCTCAGAGAATGCCAGGACCTTCCTCACAATTGAGCAGAGAGGAAGACTTTGTTGCAATGTACTATTTAATATAATAAATAACATTCAACATATAATTAAATAATATAGAATATATTAAATAATATTAACTATATTAAATTAATATTAATATATGAATATAGATGGAGTCTGGGTCTGTTCCTGAGCTTCTCGTTCAAACCACAGGGAGCTGAAAATCAGCAATGCAAGTCAAAGGAGTGACGTAAATGATGTATTTGGGCTCAGGGCAGCTCCACTGTGCAGCTTGAGGTGCACTCAGGGCATCATCTCATGCACTGAGAAGCCAGCAAGGACAGGACTTACCCAGGAAGCCACTGGGAGGAAAAAGAAAACAAACTCACAAATAAAAATCAGGATCCTTTCTTCCAAGAGGCTTCTTCCAGTGCCAGTTCATGTCCTGAAGTGGAGGCAACAACAGGGAAAGAGGCAGGATATCACATTAGGGGAGATGCAGGACTGTATTCCAGGCTTTTTCCCTCCTTGTTTCTAGCAGTTACAGAGATTTAAGCCACAAGGTTTGCTCAGAGCTGTTCAGATTCTCTCCCACCACCTTCTTTTCTTTGCAGCTTACATGGCTTGTGCTTTTCTGTGAGGAGGGATGTGGGGTGAGAAGTGGGGATTGTGCTTTTGGCATCTGCTGTTCTAGCTGTGCCTGCTTCTGTTCCCCAGACAAAGGCTGATTCTTGCACCAAGCATTCACCTCTTTCCATCACCACTCCCAGTATCCTGTGGCCATGAATTTTCAGCTTTATTATAAGCTGAAATTAAAAAAAACACCAAACTCCAAGCTCTTTTCTTTCATCACTTCTGAATCCTCCACCTTCCAAAGGTAGGTGCCAAGGGAGGAAAAAACCCTCCAAAACACTTAGCTCATTAGCCTGCAGGATAGTTGTTCTCACTCCTGTGTGGAACTGTGGATGTCCCATCCCAAGAGTTCCTTCAGATAAATGCCATGGGGGATGTGGAGGCCTGTGTTCCTGGCTGTCATGAACCAGCCCTGATTTATGCAGGCTGGAAACATGAGCCAAGTATCTGGGGATGAGTTCTCTGGGGTTCTTTTAATTGGTCCTTTCCACCTCTAGTTGCTCCTTCTCTCTGTGGCTGCTCCCTTATGGGCAAAATTAATTTAAGCTTTGCTTAATGTTGAGATGGAAGCTCTGAAGCCTGCTCTGACAGATACCCAAGCCAACAGCCTTAGCATGGCTGGCTTTAACTCCTGAAAAACCTGAGCAGGCACAGACTTCCTGGAAGCTGAAAATTCACCATCCTGAGCTGGTACGTGACAGGGATGCACTGCTGGCTTGGAGGATGCTTATCTCCTCCCAGTTCTTTCCAAAGGTGTAGCCTCTCTCAGAGTTTCATTTCCAGTGATTTAGCGCAGCTGCTGTCTGGGAGCTGATATCACGGTATCACGATGACCAGATTTGATGTTCCCTTGCCAATACCCTCTTCTCTCCCCACCCTCCATCTTGTGTTCCAGGCAGAAATGCGCCTGCAGGACCAGCAGCTGGCGAGGCAGCTCATGCGGCTCCGCAGCGACATCAACAAGCTGAAGATCGAGCAGACCTGCCACCTCCACCAGCGCATGCTCAACGACGCCACGTACGAGCTGGAGGAGAGGGACGAGCTCGCTGACCTCTTCTGTGACTTCCCCCTTGTGAGCTCCTTCAGCCTCTCCACGCCGCTCAAGCTCATCGGGGTCACCAAGATGAACATCAACTCCCGGCGGTTCTCACTGTGCTGAAGGAGGGAAGAAGAGGGAAGGATGGGGGAGAAAGAGAAGACTGGGCAGGGCCAGGGCTCTTTCTGCCTGGCAGCTGAGTGAAAAGAGGCCAAAGAGGAACAGAGGGAACAGGAGAAAACAGGGTACCCACAGCTGGTTCTTGGTAGCAGGGTAGAGCAGTGGAGCTGCACACTGGGATGGCCCAGAGATGCTCATTGAGAAGACACATCCTGTATAAGGGAAGTGTGGGGAGCATCTGAACCCGAGATGTGCACTTAGGCTGCTCCTTTGCAAAGTCCGTTCTCCTTCTCTTCCCCACACAGTTACTAAGACGACGCAGCTCCAGTGTGGTTGATTGTAGCCAAAAATCACAGGAAGGAGTCAAAGATAAGCCACAAAGTAAAGCAAAATCCCTTTTGCTTTCCCCTTTACCTTCCCCCAGGCTAGAGCTGCCTCTTCAGAAAATAAATCACTCTTCTCCAGGGATGTCACCTTAGGCAACAATCCTCAGCCTCTGCTGGCCCAAGCACAGGGCCATGGGGCTATTTCAGGAGGAAGCCGATTGCCAGTGGAAAGGAGCCCTCCCAGGAGGGAGGGGATGGTGGGTAAAATCCTATGCAGCCCCAAGAAGTGGTGAGAAGATGTGTTTGTTGACTTGCTCCATTGAGTCCAGTGTACTCTAGTTTCATTTTGCCTGTGGTATAGATTATGGACAGATTATGAACACATTTGTATAGAGACTCCAGTCAGCCAGAAGTAGCTTGTGTGCCCTAGAAGTTATAACCAGAGCAATATATGGTTACGATCTTGTTGTCAGCAGTGGCCACAAGACACCATGTGGTTACTCCTGCAGTAAGGCAAAGGAGGTAACTTACGCCCAAGACATCTCATATGAGAGAAATCACCCCAGGCTGACGTTACCACAACAGCAGCACCAGCAAATCCTGGATCCTCTGTAGCAGCACACATCCATCAGAAGAGGAGAGGAGAAAAGGGACTTTTCTGTGATGAATGTAAAGTGTGACTATAAAATTAAAGGGAGAAATATTGCTGTGATGAGCTTTGGACCTGCAGCAACCCACGGGATTCCCTCCCTGCTTGGCAGGATGTCAGATGGATGAGATAGATTTTTGTGCACATAGCTGCACACTTGCCTCTGCATGGCACAGAGGGCAGAGACACCTGTGGTGCTGCCCAGCAAGGGCAGGGACTCAAGAGGTCTTGGGGCACCTGGCACCCAAAGCAGTCTGACTAGACCAAGCCTGGATGCCTCTAGGCTCTTCCTCCTGTGCCAGCACTACTCCTGACCATGTCAGAGTGGTACGATCTCTCAACCCATCGCCCCAGCCCAGCTCTGCTCCCCTCCACATGCCCAAGCAGAGCACTCTGTGGCTGGGTGAACGTGACTGTGTCCACACAACACCAGCCCAAGCCCTGGGGATGAGCAGGAGATGCAAGTCAGCACTGAGCTGAAAGCTGTGTGGCTGTGTCGACGTGCCTGTACCTGACTGTGTCTGTAAGCTGTGTGTGTGCATAAGTTCTTGTGTGTGTGCATGTGAGCCCACAGGATGCCTCTTTCAGGAGGTGGAGTGGTGGCCCCATGTCTTTGTTCTCATATGTGGTGTGAACCAGAATCTAATGAGACTCTGCCATGCCTGGGAAGATGCAATGAGGCATCGAGACTTGGGGTTTTCACAAGGAGCTTAGGTCAATGCAGAGAAGACAAACAATTCTTCTGCCTCCACGGGAGGAATAAAAAACATCATGAAGATGTTCATAGCCACATGGGGCTGGGGAACTGGTAGGGGACTCTGGAACTGAGTTCAGTCCTCTGTCTCCCATAGTACGTAAACGCTCAGTGATGCCTCCCCCTCCACTTTAAAGCTCATTGGGTATCATTTCTAAGGAAGGAGGTATTTGGGGCACAGCAGCTCTGTCTATACCAGTAAGTTAATCAGTGCCATGGTGCTGCCCAGGTAGCAGAGGTTCAATAGGGTTGTGGCCAGAGTGTCAGTTAGCCTCTGGACAAGACAACCAGCCACAATGTTGTTGTGTTTACACTAGTAGAGAAATAGCCTTATTTCCCCATGGACATCTGGAAAAAAAAATTCTCATTAAAATTCTTCTTTGATTACTTTTTTAATGAAAAAAAAAATCAGTTTATGTCCCACATGTTGATTTTCGGAGGCTTTTTTGCTTAAAACATAGCAATGACAACTCTTCAGCAAAACTAATGCCTTGGAAGAGGGAGGCTAGCTCTCTCTAGGATCAGTCAGAGTCAACAATAGGGTGGACCTGCCTTTGGGCTCTTGTCAGGTAGTCGAATGCAGGAGGTTAGTACAAGCACAGTCTTAGGAGTTCCTTATATGTGGCATTAGAAATATCAGATGTCTGGGTTCCAGACATGTATTTTCTGCATTAAGTGGGATGAGGGATGGTCGTATATGCCAGCTGTTTGTCCAAATGCACAATTTTTTAATCATAAAGTTATGTCTGTATTGATTCCTGCCTCTGGTCTCTCACTGTGTTCAGTGGCTCCGGCTCTGCCTGGAGAGCAGTCGGGGAAGCACAAGTCTTGTGTGCTCAAGGTTTATAGGTGTGCAAGGTTTCCAGTCAAGTTTTTGTATCCACACTCATCACTGGTTAGAATTACTGATGCAGCTTCATCAGTAATTGCTGCTCCACCTTGAAGTCTGAAGGAGATGGGGAAAAATTAAGGTGGGAGCATTTATTATGTATTTGGGCAAAAAAGTGTGGAAAACAAAGCCAAAACGCTACTGTTTTACATGAGGAGCTGAGTCAAAAGTGGGTCCAGCCGCTTAAAAATATAACAGGCTAGGGAAAATTGTAAGTAGAAGTATATCTTGATTTTTGCTGAACTTTGTTTAAAACAAACAAGTCATCCAAAGGTTGTGAGGGCCTTGAGAAACGTAAGTACAGGTCACTGGTCCCATCACAAAGTTCCCAGAGGAGCCTCCTGGTCTCAGCAGTCTGCAGAGAGATGATTCATGCCTCCGAGTGCCTTTACTAGTGCAAGTGGCTTATGGCCACATCCCCTTTCCTAGGTGACCTGTGATGCCTGCAGCGAAAGGCTGGTAGCTGTTAAGTTTGACACTTCTGCGGTCTGTCCTGAAAATGCCCTATAATGTGACCACATGTGTGGACCATCTAATCAAGGCTGTGGTATCTCCGTCTGGAGTACCAGCGGCTGCTGATCCACCTATTTGAAGCAGGGATCAGCTGGATGATGATTTACGGGTTGTCCACAGCCACCCAGCAAGGAGACATGTTCCTCACTGAAATTAAAGAGAAAGTTTGAGACTAGTCCATGTGAATAATGAACTGCATTGTTATTTTAGATGGGTACACTGGAAGACCACAGATTTCTCCATGCTAACTAGAAGATCAAATTTCAGATTACTTCTTGCTCCAGAAACCTCAATGCAAATTTTGGATGTGGGGGAATCAGGCTAGCATTTTAATTGGTTATGTTTTGCTTTTACTTAAAACAGTTCTAAAAATTTAAAATAGAAACTGAAACCATTAACACCTTGTTTTTATTCATGCGATGTTTTGTAACGAACAGTCAAAATATTTTCCCTTAAACATCCTTAATGAAACTTTTCCAGTTCCTCTTTTTCAGTGAGTATTGGACATTTATCCAACTAGACCAAATCCCTGAAGTTTTAATTAACCCAAACCTCAGCACAAAGAATTCAGTTAAATATGAATTGGCCCAGCTTGATTTCTGACTTCCTCTGGGTCACTTAAGAGGAAGCAGAAAGCAGTTTTACACATTTTAACTTAGGGTCAACTGGCCATTTTCCCAGGCATGGTCTGCCTCGACCTACTAATAGACAAGACCTTGCTCAAATGTCACAGCCCCAGTGTAGCAACAACGAAAGGGGTCATTGTTCCTAGGAGAGTGTCTCATTACTTGCTCTTTTGGCACTGGGAAGTGCTATCGTATAATCGGGGAGTGATTTGTATTTTGACATCCCCCACAAACATCCATATAACCCTTCATGAAATTCAATTGAGATACCATAGAAAAGCCCCAACAGGTCCCATTTACACCAGGAACGCTGGGGAATGATACGTTTAAGGACTTAAAGGCAGAATTGCAGATTGCCTCTGTTATACAGTATTTCAGCTATCACGGTCTAGCCTCTTTTTATATATATATGGAAAATACATATATGGAAAAAATCCCAGCTGGAGTATTCCCAGCACCTTGTGGTTTTCTCTTCACAGACTGACACTGTCTGTTAGTGGGTTTTATTTTAGATCAGGGAGACAGAAGGCGGGGCGGGGGGGAGAATAAAAAAGGATTGCAAAGAGGAAGTGGCAGGCTACACACCAAAACCAGAATCAGACTCACCTCCTTCAATGCACGTTTTACAACCAAGTGTTGTGTCTGAGGACATACACACAAGGGAGCAAAGCATCCCAAAACCCTGGGGTGAAATCACGCCTTGGGTATTGCTTACAAGCCAACCAGCATCCAGAGGAGCCATGCAGCAGCCCAAAGGAGAAGTGGCACTGAAAGATGTGCAAACCACTCCTGAAATCCTCACTGGTCTCTGTGCTACCTGGGAAACCTGTAAAGCTGACACCAGCACCTACCTGCCCTCTCCAAGCAAAGAATACCCCTAAGCCTCAGATGACCACACTCACTCATGGTGAAGCGTATTCCAGGCTGCAGCGGTTGGATGTGGATTTTAAGATAATCAGTGATCAGATGTGGGGTAAATTCATGATTGCAGGCTTTCGTCTCTTATATTTGCAACCTGTTTTATGAGGAAGGACCAAGGGATCCGCTCCACACACACATCATTCAGAGCAGCTGAGATCTGGACTTGCCCCATCCTTGCAAAGGCAGATGGTGCAGAGTCCCTGTGGTCCAATCCCTGGGGCAGCCGAACTACCCTCGTCACTGCCTTCAGCATCAAAATGTGTTTCAAAACTCTCCAGGTCAGCCACTGTGAGAGGTCTGCAGTGCCCAAGCCCTGAGATGGTGACAGAAGATTCTCAATGATTCTCTGCTGCCCTTTCCCTCGGTGTCTGTCTCAGCCCCCCTTCCCTGCCTGCCTCTTGAGGGGGGAGCAGGAGGGGGAGAGCTATTACACAATGTTTTTGTTCCACTGATGGTTTCCCTCTGCCAGTTGGAACAGGGTGCTCATAAATCGCAGCTTTCTGGAGGGGTTTCAGGAGCTTTGCATTCTTAGATCATTGTCTCTCCTCTCTGGGAACAATGAGGGTAGGAAAGAGTTGCTACAAAAATGCCATGTGCTACAAGGGCGTTTCTTTAGGATGGGGATTGCTCAGGGAGGCAGATGGAGTTTCTCCCAACTGCTTTAGCTTGCAGCCTGGGTAGTCAGGGAGGCTACTCAATAGGAAGCAGGAATGCTGCTAACAGCCCTCTGCAGAGATCTGCAAAGTTCAGCTCCTTCCTACCACCACAGAAAGGTAGTTAGAACAATTATCCTCTGATTATAAGGTGGAAAATGAGATGCAGGATGCCCCATGCTGTGCATGCCCAGTCTGAGATAGAGCCAAGGACCTTCTGGACTTCCAGATGTGAGCACCTTGACAATGCTCAGCATGTCTTTGCCACCCTGGAAGCTGCTGGGACTGAGCTTTTGGAAGAAAGCCTATCCTGCAGGTGAATTAAGGTTGGAAGCTGGTTGCAAGGCTTCTAACAAATCAGAGGGATCAAGCTCTTAATGCTATTAAGTCCTCCTGTGAAATCAGCAGCTTGTTAGACTGCCCTTTCCCATGCTGCCAATTCCAGTGAAAGCTTTGCCTTTGGCATGTGGTTTCCCAAGGGTTATCTCTGCCTGCTCAGTTGTCATCATGGTCCCTGGCATGATGTTGGTACAGTCCAGCTGCACTGACCCAAGCAACCAGCAGTTATGGCTCAGGAGTTAATATAAGCCAGGGACCATCCCAAACTGGAATGCAGCTACCTCTTTTGGGGTATGAGTATTTAACCATATGAACACGTCTGCACCACACCAATTGGTCTCATGAACAGAAGAGAGTCCCTGGTT